GACAACAACCTAAAGGGCCAAGTCTTCCACCAAAGCGGCCAAGGCCACGCTGCAAACTGCTTCGAAGCAGTCTAAAGGAGAGCAACCCCAGCTGTCACCTAGTGAGGTCTCCAAGCCCGTGGATCCATAAACTGAGGCATTTCACTGTGAGTCTGTCCATGCGGACAATGGGGGTAAGTCATCCCCGGCAAAAACGATCGACAACTTAATTGGCCTCGACTCCGCATGTCGAGGTGATAGATAAATCTGAGTGGCAGAAAGCTGCTTCTCAGTCGGCCAAAGGACAATGCATCTGCTCACAAGAGGTAGGGGACGAGCGAATACCCCCCCTTCATTCAACCTTCCATCTCCTCCATCCTTCTCGGACGGTAAGCTAAATCTTCATACGACTGTTGACTTATGTTTTTAAGAACTTGCTTGTTCATTCTAACAATTTTTTTGGTTTTGCGCAGACATTGCCAAGGAGATGCACATGAAGCTACCCGATCAGTCGAATTTTTGCGCAAACATGAAGCATTTTTGAATAATTTTTCATGCTTTGCGTACGAATGCTTTGCTGGGGGTATGCCCCTTTATTCGGCTTTTTGCCTAGTCCATACTCAAGAAGGTTTGATTAACTTCGTAGATTTTATACCTTAAATGGTATGACAACTTGTAAGTTAATCAAATCATAATAATGATTGCCCTTGGACTAGGCGAATGCCGAATCAATTTTATAGTCATCCTTTGATGCTATCTCTCGGATGCACTCATAATATCTCAAGTATTTTTTTCAACTTGATTGTATTTATTGGGCTCGGACGCCTAGGTATGCCCTTAACTTTAGGGTAAAAATACCTTAGGCAATTTTCGGGTTATCTTTTGTTTCCTCCGTTCGACCGTTCTATGGCCGGATGGAGTGATTAGCCATTTTGGCTTTTATGGCCGAGTTGCCTAACTGGGGGATGCCCTCGCTAGGCATTTTACTCGGCCATCTGATCATGCCCCTTCAGTGGCCGAGATACTAAGTTGCAAGCAGCTTCGATTCTCTTTTTGGGCGGCTTACATTGTGCTATATTACTTATTCGGCTTTGCCCTCTTCAAGGGCCGAGCTGCTATCTTGCAAGCCACCCCTGTTTCTGTTTTTAGTCGGCATTTCTACTTAACACTAAGTAAACGTATAAAGTAAATAACAAATATAACAATGTTTGACCTTTTCATTAATATTGTCAAAATTACATTATTTTTGGTCGTATGGCTTTAATTACATTGCTCGGCCGTTTAGGCCTAGTTGTATATACAACTGTTTGGCTAAGTACAAAAATTTATACATAATATTTTTTTAGATTTTCCGTATTCCATGTACGAGGAATAGGACGGCCTTCCAAGGCTTCGAGACGGTATGTACCATCTCGGGCTTCTTCTCTGATTTGGTAAGGCCCTTTCCTGTTTGGGGTTAACTTGCCATCTTTATTGGCCCGGCCTACCGCTTCCATCTTTCTTAAAACAAAGTCACCAATCTTAAGAGGCCGCATAGACACTTTACGATTATATGCTCTCGTCATCCTTAGACGATAAATTTCGTGTCTAAGCGCCGCATTGCCCCTAGATTTTGGAAGAAAGTTTAGGGCGGTCTTCATGGCCTCCCAATTGGTCGATTCATCATATATAATTACTAGGACAGTAAGCTCATACATCGCAATTGGGAGCACGACCTTAGCACCATAAACCAGAAAAAATGGGAATTCCTCTTTTGAAATTTTTACTGTCGTACAAATGGACCATAACACATTAACCAACTCATAAGCCCATAGGCCGCCTGCTTTCTCAAGCTTGCGCTTGATGCCATTAGAGATCAACTTGTTGTATGCTTCAACTTGGCCATTTTCCTTTAGGCGTTCGACCGAGGCAAAACAATGCGTTATGCCCTGGTCGCTTAGCCAATCCTTCAGTTGGTTGGTCTCAAATTACGGTCCATTGTCGAACACCATTGATTGCGGCACACCAAAGCGTTTGTTAGTGCTCTTATAGATGAAGGCAGATACATTTGTCCATTTGATCCCTCAGACGGCCTCAGCTTCGACCCACTTTGTGAAGTAGCCAACGGCAACTAACACATACCGCCTCTGCCTAGATGCTGGAGTATACGGCCCCAAGATGTCCATACCCCATTTTGCAAAGGGAAGTGGACTACTTATGGCCAACAAGATATTTGCCGAGCGGTGAATGAGGGGTGCAAATCTCTGGCACTTGTCACATTTTTTCACCATTTCCATGGCGTCTGAATTCATGCTCAACTAGTAATACCCCAGATTGTTAACTTTTTCAGCTAAAGCTCATCCGCCTATGCGTGATTCGCAATGCCCCTGGTGGAGGTCGTCCAACACTTCATGCCCCCTCTCAGGCGTAATACATTTCAAATATGGTTTCACAAAGGCTTTTTTGAACAAGTCTTCCCCTTTCATTTCAAACTATGCCGCCTTTTTCTTCATCAGCCAGCTCTCTTTTGGGTCATCCGGAAGGACTCCATCCTTGAGGTAGGAGACAATTCCTGCGGAGCTTCTGTAAATGATTTGCACAGGCTCGGCATCGATGCTCCTCTTTTCCTTAACTTCCCAGAACACAGATCTTGGAGTATCATATGATGCCGAGGAGGCTAACTTGGAGAGGGTGTCCGCCTGATGATTCTTGGACCGGGGGACTTGTTGCAGGGTGAAGTGATCTAGGCCCTCGGCCTCATCCTTTAGCATTTGAATATACTTCATCATGGCCGACTCCATGGCTTCATAGTCACCATTCCCTTGGCTGACTATCAATTGGGAGTCCGAACTAGCATCAATTTTTGTTGCCCCGACCGCCTTACACATTCTAAGGCCGGCCAGTAGGGCTTCATACTCGGCTTCGTTATTAGAGTCTTGAAACTAGAATCTCAACACATATTCAAACTTGTCTCCTTCTGGAGATTGACATATGATACCAGCGCCACATCCGATTGCTGTTGCACTTCCATCCACAAAAACTTTCCAGATCTGATCCCCTGCGGGTTGTAACTCCGATCGTGTCATTTCGGCCAAGAAATCTGCAAAGGCTTGGCCCTTGATTGATTTTCTAGGTTCGAATGTGATATCGAATCCTCTCAATTCTAAGGCCCATTTAAGAATTCGGCCACTGGCCTCCAATGTTGTGAATGGCTTCTTCAACTGTTGGTCCGTGTAGACCACAATAGGACCCCGCTCTCAGCAGCTTCTCTAGCATCGACACCGACCTTGAAGCCAGTCCAAGCGTACACACGATCATCGTCTTCAGTGTTCTTCCATCCTGAGTAAGAAAATAGGGACTTAGCTTCTTTGATGCCATGAAAAATGCCAAGCCAAACTTTTCAATGGGTGGATACCTAAGCTCGGCATTATGTAGGACATGGCTGATGAAATACAGAGGTATTTGATGGCCTTCCCTTTTAGCAAGCAGGACGACACTTAAGGAATAATTAGAAATTGCAAGATACATATATAGCTTCTCTTCTTTGAGTGGACTAACGAGCCGAGGAAGGGTATGCAAATGATTTTTCAACTGTACAAAGGCTTCCTCGGCCTCCTCTGTCCACTCGAACATTGCTTTCTTCTTGATAGTTTGGAAAAACTAACGACACTTATCCCTTGATCTTGACAGAAATTGTCCGAGCGCAACTAAACAGTCGGTCAGCCTTTGAACTTTTTTATTATTCTGGGTGATTTCATGTCTAAGACCTCTTGGATCTTCTCAAGGTTAGCCTCCATGCCGTGCTGATCAATTAAAAATCCAAGAAATTTGTCGGACTCAACACCAAAGACACACCTCTTTGGATTTAACAACATCTTATGCCGCCTGAGTTCGGTAAATGTTTCTCGGAGGTCCTTCAGATGGTCAGCCGGCGTCTTTGATTTAACAATCATATCATTAATCTAGGCTTCCATGTTTCAGCCGATATGATCTCTGAAGACCGTATTCACAAGTCCTCAGATGGTCAGCCAGCGTCTTTGATTTAACAATCATATCTTTGATTTAAAACGTGGCAGGGGCATTCTTCAGGCCGAATGACATAACCTTGTAGAAAAATAGCCCCTGCTCGATCAAAAATGCTGTTTTCTCTTGATCTTCTTCCTACAAAGGAATCTGGTGAAATCCGGAGTATGCGTCCATAAAGCTCATCAGGGTATGCCCGACCATTGAACCAACCAGGCGGTCAATTTTAGGAAGGGAAAACTATCCTTAGGGCATGCCTTGTTGAGGTCGGAATAGTCTACGCACATTCTCCAAGTCCCATTCGGCTTCTTCACAAGAACTACATTTGTTACCCAATCAGAATAGTGGCATTGCCGAATGAATCCGGCGTCTAGCAGCTTCTTAACTTCAGCTGCGGCCGCCTGATTCCTTTCTTCACCATAGTTTCTCTTTTTTTTCCGAGCAGGCCTCAGAGCCGGATTCACAACCAACTTGTGAACAGCTAAGTCTGGTCTGATACCCGACATCTGATGAACTTCGAAAGCAAACACATCTCTGAATTCTCTTAACAAATTCACCAAGTCATCCCCAAGCAAACTGATGCCCATAGTGCCCACTTTGATCGTCCGATCATGCTGGACTGGGTCGAGCACTATGTCTGTATGATCATTGGCCGGCCGTGGCCTTAACTCTTCTGGCCGGGCGATAGTCATTAACTTCTATTCTTACTCTTTCTTCATTGACTTGCGCTTCTGGCCGATCTGGTATGTTTGGAGTGACCCTTCTTCGAAATTTTGCTCGGACGTGTTTCCTTGTCCACGAGATGTTGGCTTCACGGCCAACTGATTGCATTCCTTTGCCATCTTCTGATTTCCTTGAATGGAACCTATCTTCCCATCAAACCGCTTAAACTTCATCAGCATTAAATGTGGGAGATTACTGCCTTAGCTGATGTCAAAGTAGGGCGGCCAAGGATGACATAGTTCTTTAACAACTAGGAAGCGGACGACCATATCCCTTCTCTCTTCCTTTTGACCTAATCAGATGGGCACGTCTATCCGTCCAACCGAGTGAATAATGCTCCCACCAAACTCGACTAACGGGTGGGAAATATCCTTGAGGGCATGCTCTGGAAACTTCAAATTTTTTAAACTAGTTAAACTGATTGTGTCGAACAAGCTGCCTGTGTCTATCAACACTCGGCCGACCTTCAAATTGACAACTTTGAAGATGAACACCATGGGGTCATTGTGAGGGGCTTTGATCGGACCTCGGTCTGCCTTGCAGACCGTCACCTCTGGAAAGGGCTCCACCTTCACCCCTTCAGTGTGCATTACCTTTTCAAAATTCCAAGCATCTTTCTTAATTCCTTTCATGGTTTGGTTGCCTGTAGCAATGCCGCCTAATATAACGTCCATGAATCTTGAATCAATGTTGTTTCCATCACCTTCTTTTTCATTATTTTTCTTCTTCTTGGATTTATTGTCCGTCTGAGAGTAGGTGAACTTGGACTTTAGAACGTACGAGTTGAGCATGCCCTTCTCGGCCAACTTATCAAGTAATCTCTTTAAATGGTTATAGTCGTTCGTGTCATGCCCCACGTCTTTGTGGTAATGATAGTACTTGTTCTTGTTTATGTACTGGGCCGGCCCTCTCAAGGGCTGAGGCTTCTCAAACTCGAAATTGTCTTTGATCTCCATCAAGATTGAATAGTAATCCTTGTATTCATGCTGGGGCTCATACGTCTTGGCTTTCTTTGATTTCGTCTGTTGGCAGTCGACCACCCAGACTTCTTTTCTTTTGTTGCTTCCTTTCTTCTTTTTGCCGACTGAGTCTTGCCGAGAAGGTTGTTTCTTCTCGGCCCCCTTGGCCGGCTCTTCTGATTTTGTAAGTGAACAAAAATCAGCTGCCTCTATATATGATTCGGCCTCCCGCAGAAGACCTGCGTATGTCCGAGTCTTTTTCTTGACCAAGTCAAAATTGAAACCATTATACCTTAACCCTCGAAGGAACTCCAAGTAGGCCATCTTATCTGGAAGATTCTGAATTCGAGCTTTCTCTTGATTGAACCTCCGGACGTACGAGCGCAACCCCTCTTTCTTTCCTTGGACATTGGTCACCAAGTTAATACTAGTCTTCTGGGGTGGAATATTATAGGAGAAGTTTCCAAGAAATAACAGACTGAGAGTTGTGAAACAATTGATGCACCCGGCTGGCAGACGAACCAGTCTTGTGCCATACCCTTGAGGGTGGTCGGGAAGCATTTACACCATGTGGCATCACCCACACTTTGCAGATACATCAGGTTTCTGTACGAGGTGACATGCTCTTCTAGGTTGCGTGTACCATCATAGGCACTCACAAGTACACTCTTCACTTTTGCTGGTTGAGGAGAGTTGAGAATTTCTTGAGAAAACGGAGGTGACTTGTCACCAAGATTCAACATGCGCATTTGCCAATCAATGGGCTGAGGTTGTTCGGCCGGTCCGCCCAGGTAAGCTGCCTGGTCGTACGGCTAGCCATTCTGCCCGTAATGTCCAAAGACAAGGGGAGTAGGCAACAGAATTGTGCCATAATTCTGATATTGAAATGGTTGAGTTAGAAGAACTGGGGTTGGAGTACGATGAGCTTGACTTCTTCTGGTCCAGGCGAAGCTGGTATGCTTGGAGAGGGTATGGCCAGAGAAATCATTCGGCATGGTGGGAGTGGAGGTTGTGTCCGAGTAGATTGCCCACTCCCGCTGTTTGTGCCGGATATAGTCTCTCGCATCCTTCCAGCGTCTAGACGGCTCATTCAGCTCTTTCTGAGGCTGCTTGGTCTGCCCCCTAGACGACTGTGCTTTCTCAAGGAGCCTGAACCAGTTTGTCCGAGGCACCCTTGGTGACCTTGCATGTCGTCGAAATGGGGTATTCCCAGCATCTTCAGCATTGACTGCCTTGCTCTGAGTTTTCTTATGAGCACCTTCTCCTTTCCATCTGAACGACTGTCATGACAAAGAAGGGATCTTACTCTCAAACTCCCTTCGAAGCTTGTTCAAGGCGGCCTTCAAGGAACCAGCAGTCACCGGAGGATCCTCGGCCTCATGAAATGAAGCAGTCAGAGGATCGCTTATATTAATGGTAGCAATGAGATTCTTTACATGCCCGTCCTAACCTGGACCGGGTGTCTGACCATCTTTAGCCATTTCAGACGAGTATCCCCACAGACAGCGCCAAATGTTTTAGGGTTTTTTGGAATACCTCGGGATACTGGTCGTGAATATAGCCGGACGGTCTCCTGCAAAATAACGAATATTCCGGTATACGGAATATTCGCCTTCGACGATCAAGTTAGTGACCGGAAAGCGAGATAAATGTAGAGAGAGAAAGTAGAGAGAAGTTGGAGCTTTCAATACTCTTAGAATGATGTCTTTTCTTTCACCCCTCCCATCATAAATGATTGGGGTATTTATAAGGGTGGGAAAGTGTGCCCCTTTAGAGTTAGTGCCCTAGAATTGCGTGCTCTGATTGGCGGCGCAATCAGGAGAAGGCACGTGTCCGAATGGGGGCGCCGTTTTACGGCTTTCTCGGAATTGGGTCTCCTGATGTAAGGAGGCCCTTTGCTCTCATTTCAGGTACTCTCTCTTTTTCTGACACGTGTCATCTTCCTATAGGGACACGTGTCGCCCGATAATTAGGCCACGTGTCACTATGGGATTGGTCCACGTGGTGGGGTATTTTTACCCTAAACAGAAAGAGATTGAGAAAACACATCTCATGTTTTATTTGAGGTTAGCCCTTCCCACTAAGCTAAGAGACCTAGATGCATGGTGTGCTCGTTTGATTTTAATTTTCTCAACTCACCCAATGCATTTTGGGTATCATACCCCTTGCTCTAGCACTAGTACTAACCGGCAAAAAAATTGAAGGTGGTCATCCATAGTAGTATGTGTACGTAATACTAGACGGGCCATCTCATCGCCTCAACATTCTTACTAAATGAAGCTTAACTAATAAGGAGTAAGAATACTTTCAACCTTATTATTTCGTCTAATAAATCATTATGGTAAGTTGCAAAGAAGGACATCTTTTCTTATTAAGTTAAGTCTTATAAGATATTTATGTTTGAGTAATCAATATATGATGCCAAATTTTAGACATTGGGAGTTGGGACCATCATCTCCTTGGTTCTTCATATCTCTTCTCTTTTGTTGTTGTTGGGCCTTACGTTATGTTTATATTCTCTAGCCAACTAAAGTATATTTCATTTTCTCTTTCATTGGGCTAGACAAGCTCATTTTGTGAGAGAATATGATCACATACAAACCCTACATATGATTCCATTTAAAAACAAATGCTAATAGGTGGAGTATCCAATGAGATTTATATGTTGGTTATCAACTCATCATTCATCATCATTTTTCAGTATAAGATGATTAGTCGTTACTCATGTGAGTTTTCCTTAACGAATTGCCTTGTACTAAAAAAGAATGAAATTACGCATATTACTCGTTTGTTACGCTTTTATATTACTTTTCGTCCAATCCTTGTTGGTTATTGAAACATCCCTATTTTCTATCTAATAATTAATTAAAAAAAAATAAAGGACACCTAAATTAAAAGTATCACCGCCACACTTAATAACATATCAAGTGCTAAAATTGCAAAGTCTCAACTACGAAGTACATCTTAATAAATTAAATGAGCTATTAACACAATTGTACAAACTCGTTGTAACATACTTATCAAAACTCTTGAGCTTCTCTACAGTCTTTTTGGTGCTAGATCTTGATTGCTCACCATTAACTACAACTATGAAATGGATCATCACAGGGCCACCTTAAAGAAAAGATATGGCCACAAATACACATAGGAAATAATTGCACACAGGGGTAGCAAAGAATTGAGTTATTTAATATTTTGTTTAATAATTAATATCACCGATTCATTTAAACAATGCAGTTGCAAACTAAATTACACATATTTTTTTTTTAGTAAAATTAACTTGACACTCTTTTTATAATTAAAAATATTATTATCTGTGTTAATATACTAGCTCCGTTCCTGAAAGTTCGACTCACTTACTATTTATGTGATTAAAATAAAATAACTTTGACCACATTTTATGGTTTAGACAATCAAAATAATTTAACAAGTTTGATCTTATTAGATTCCCCTTATAATAAATTTTTCAAATATCAACTTTTTAAAAAATTTACTTATACATAATCGAAATTATTAATGGTCAAATATCAAGTGTGTGTTAAAATTTGATTTTATTTTATTTCTCCTTCTTTTTCATTTTTATTGGAAAATAAGTTTTTTTTTTTGAAATATGGTTTCTTCTTCTTCTAGACCTTTTTTTCTTCTTATACTATTTGAAAAAGGTTACACAACTTTTTTTTATTTCATTGTACGATCGTCGATCGAGTATGGTATGGTAATTTGATTGTGTATTTATGTAATTTTTTAAGAAAAGTGTTTTTATGTAATTTGATTGTTTGTTAATTGCTTTAGTTTTATGGGAATTTATTTTATTTTCCCCCTTTTTTAACAGGGTTTTAAATTGAATTTTAAATTGGGTTTTCTATGCGTATTATGATTTTTACGTGGAGTTGTTAAAATTAAATAGTTAATAATATATTTTGATTGATTTTTCCTAATTATATATGAAAATGATGGATTTTGGGAATTTTATTTTCATATTTAATTATGAAGTAATCAAGAAAACAGAGGAAGTAGTTGTCTTCTTTCAATATATGCTAAAAATCTATAATTTATTTTTATGTTCTAACCGTGTATCGCACGACACTAACCTAGTGTATTTTATAAGCATAAAATGAAACAAATCTAACAAGATTTCACATGACTGTTTTTTTTTTTAGCAAATTCAAGTTTATAACTCTAAGAAACAAACGACATTTATCAAGGGGCCTTTAAGTACTTTCTTGTGTAAAGTTGTGTTTCCTGATGCATGACATCTAGTGTAGGAACTTGGTCGGAATGCGAAAAGGAAAAGGATTAGTGATAAGGTATTGGTTGAACTTTGGTTTATGAGTACATAATACTTTTGTATTTTGAAGTTTGTGTTATGAACTTTGTATTATGTACTTACTGTGATGAATCTTGAAGTTTGTGTTATGAACTTTGTGTTATGTACTTATTGTGAAGAATCTTGAACTTTGTTTTATGAAAAGGGTGGGAGGGAGAAGAGTGGCGAGATTGGACCGCTGTATCCAGAGCTGTTTAAGGTAATTGTCTGATTGTGAATGCATTTTTCTGTGTTTGGTTGGTGGTCTACAGTGTTTGACTGCATATGTGTGTGCAGCCTTCATTGTTGTTGTACGTATTTGTGAATTTGAAGGATGATCGCATGAGAATTAGTGGGTTAGTAAAAGCTAGTGGTGAAGTGTTGAAACATCATTCAATTGGTACCTCTAAGGTTTGTGTTCTTGTATTTTCAAGTAAATGACGTAATTTGGCTTTAATAGAATAGTAATGTAGGATTATGTGCAAGCTCCAAACTTAACGTGTCGCATATTGTCATTCGGTAGAATTTGTCAGAAGTTTAATGGGAGACATAGGCTCTGGTTAACTGAAATGGGGTTTGGGGGTCTATTACACCTCGCTTCCTCAGGGATGCAGTTGCCTAGGGAATTAGCATATTGGCTACTGACTCACGTTGATCCGGTTAGCAAAATTCTAATTTCCCCGGATGGGAAAGAATTTAGTTTGTCCGCAAACCAAGTGTATTATGTCTTAGGAATTCCAAATGGTGGGAAGCCAGTTCCTACGAAGAACAACATGACCTCTGAAATGAAGGACAAGGTTGAAGCATTACTGAGTCAGTATGGTAGTTCGTGGGAAACTAGGTGTAGTAGATATGAAGGGCGGGTCTACACTAGTAAGGGTATATATGTTAATCATGAGTTAATGGAAAGACTTGAGGGTGAATGGATGGATGGATGGTGAGGAAGTTAAATTTAAGACTTTATTTCTATTAATGTCTCTACATATGGTTCTATGCCCCACCCAATCCCCTGGACTCTCGGCGGATCTTGTTCCTGCGTTAACATGTACACAAGAGTGTAATGAATATGATTGATGTGGGTTGGTTGTGTCGAAGTTATTTTGTAGTGTGACAACATTTGCCCGCCAGGTTTTATGCCAAAGGTTCTGCTGGAGGATGTGGAGGATGCTTGTTATTCATTGTGGTAAGATGCATTAACTATGTTAGTCGTTACGGCAATACTGTCTCGAATAAGTATTATGATAAATGTAATGAATACCTTGTTATTTGAAACACTATGTGCAGGTTTTGTATTAGACCGGCTGAATAAGGTTCCATTGCAGCGAGGAATGTTTCCTAGGCTGAAGGTGTGGAATATGCAAGAGATCAAGTCTATTGCTAGCCTGGATCGACAGTTTCCTACTAGTGAGTTTGGAAAAATGGGGGTAAAATCTTTCCCTTTGTGGAGTGTTGTTTTGTACTAAGATTTGATTATTGTAAACATTGGTTGCAATTGGCAGATGATTGATGTGGCATACGGAGAAGACCATCCGAGGGAGACTCTGTATAGCAATGGTCCTAGTGTGATGTACAACCAGGTATGCATTCATATGGGATAAATGTTAATGAAATCTGTATCCATCAATATCCATGACTTGTAATCTAAATGATGTTTTGACTGTAGGGGACGAGGAAATTCCATATACATTTAAAGCACCTAAGGCAAGGAGGATGAGATATGCTGGAATTCCTTGTTTTGTTAGAACCCGATATTCTATAGATATGTCCGGCCCAACATATGATTTTGACGTGAGTTCATATTTCTTAACTGGTGCACATGTGTTTGCTGCTGTACTCGTATTTAGTTTTAAGTTTATGTTTGAATTCAGGCGTTTCGCATTGGCAATGGAAACAACTTACCTAATGGTGGAGAATGAATGACCACCATGGTTGTGCTTTACAAGGAGGGGTTTTTCCCGTATACTGAGTTTATCTTTCTAGTTGGATGACAAAAGCGGCTGTTATTGTAATGTACCATTAAGATTCACATATTTATTGGTGTTCCATAATTGGATTATCTGTTGAGTAAAGGGTGGGTTCCAAGGAGGAGTTGCGAGAGGATTTGGCCTGCTTGTTGGGATTAAAGATGGAGAAGGGGTTGGGGATGGGGCATCGATGTCCTGCACGGGTGAAGGGTTATATGTTTCATAATTTGAAACCATTTTCTAGAGAGGGTTTGGGGAAGGAGGATCCAATGTTCTAGTGTTTGAGAACAGGGGACAAAGAGGGTTTGAAGAAGAAGGATTGAGGATAATTCGAAGAACGTTTGTGAATTGGGCCGTTTAGTATGCCTGGGCCAAAAACAGTAATTCGCATAATGGTCGAAAATGAGCTGGGTCTTTTATATGGGTTATGTTAGACAATTTTTTGGCTTGGGCTTTATTATCTACAATGTTTACAATGTATGAAAATCGTGGAATTATTCCTCCACAAGTACTAAGAGAAGTATTTGGCATAAGTTTAGTGGATCCTTTTGGAAATGGCCAGTTTGTCAAGCCAAGGGCTCATTCAAAGAATTTTGGCATTTGTTTATGAACACTTTCGATAAATGGATAATTCGTACGTTGGACTGGCCCATTTCAAAACATGTTAAGATTACAAACATTACATATATGGCACTGATAAAAGACAAAACGAACTTACTAATGAGAAACTTACTATTGACAACACTAACTTACTAATGACATTCTTACTAATAAGCTAAGATGTTACAACATTCATTGAGTTGTCTTCTAGATCATTGTTGACGGATAAATTCTTAGAATGGATAACTAGCAACACCCCTCCAAAGACACCATACTCAGATCTTCAGGTTGATTTGTATATGTTCACATCGCTACAGATGAAACGGCCCATACGGACAAAAGATCTAGTCTCGGTCAACACAATTAAATCAGGCATGTGTAGGTCAAGCATGCTCAAATTGGGGTAGAAATGAGGACCTTGCTACATCTCTGCAATTCGAAACCATAACCCTCGTACCCCCCATTCTTTGAGAGTATCCTTTGTATGGCTATCTTCAAAGCAGCTGGTAAGTGTACCAAATCTAATAGATCTGGTAAGTGAATTGGGACGATGGAGTTATTCTTTAGTAATAACAGGTCGTCAGCTGGTCGTTGGCCAGTGGCTATCCAGGAAGCTGCAATTGATGCAGTGATCATCTCTACACTAATTGACTGAAGTTCTCCTTTCTATATTGGCTGTATAATAGCCAATATTGTAATGCCTCGTATTTTTATACGTATTTTAACTTAAATAAGAATTTCTTAAAGTATTTAAATAATTCGAAATGAATTATTTATGGTGTTTCATTAATTTAAAAAGAATTATTTTAACTAAAAGTTTATTTTTAATTATTTAACAATCTTGAAAATATTTTATTTCATGATTTGGAAACTTTGGGGCATATTATTTTATAAAAGAAAATTTTTAAAGTCAGTGGTAATTTAAAGAAAGTCAAAATACTAGTTTAAATAGAAATGTATCATTAAGGGTAGTAAAGGAATTTTAAGTAGGAGGGTTATTGAGAGAGGGTATAAATACCCATGATATGAGCAAAATCAAACTTTGTCCAAGGTGGAGAATACCCAAAGGTAAACTCTCTCTCTCTCCTCTTATTTTCTTTTCCCCTTAATTTTTCCCTTTCCCCTTTATTTTATTTTTGGTTCATCACCACCCACACACACCCCACCACGGCTGCCCACCAGCCGGCGGCCACCACCACAGCACTCGCCGCCAGCAGCCTGGCCTTGTGGTCGTGGCTGTAGTTGTTCGAACAAAAAACAAAAAAAATTATTTTTGTTTATAATCCTAATCTAGCCATGATCTAATTATTGTTTTTGGGTTTTGTGATGATTTTTTTATGATGTTTGATATAAGTATTTTGTATATAAATTTTCAGATTTTGTTTTGAATTAAAAAAAGCCCCAAATTATAAACCCTAGGTTTCTAAGTTTATGTATATTGATGGAAATTGTTTATGGGTGATTTAAATTATTGAAATAGGTGTTTTAAAACACAATTTCAGCAATTTTAAATGATTTAATAAAACTGGAATTTTTATATATAAGCTATAATCATGTTTCTTGAAAGGATTTTTAATTACCCATTAATTGAAAATAAAAGTAAGGGTTTTTAATTAAAATTTAGCTTGTTTTAGAAGGTTTATGAGTGATTTAAGAGTGTATATATTGCTGGAATTTGTGTGAAATAGGTATTAATGCCTCTTTGTAATTTTGGTTTGTAGGAGACTTCCAAGTGAGTGATTTTATTTAGTCGTGGCGATTTTGAGACCATATTCAAGGTACGTTTGCGTACTTGGTGATTAATTGAATATGTCAAAGCATGCTAGGATTTATTTAATTAATTCCAAGTAGTATCATGATAGGTGTTGGTTGAATTTTGTTGATTGGGTTGATGTTGGTAAATGATTTGTGATGTATGAAATATTTATGATGGATTGGTGATTGGAATTAATTATGTTGGCATGTTGATTATGAACCACACTTTTATTGTTATCATGATAGAGAGCATGTTTAAGTAAACTAAGTGTTCATTTTGGTTTGGAATATGAAAAGGAAATGTTATTATGGTTCATATAATTTTTATTGATGCTATAAGCATGAGGAATTGAGCTATTTAAGTGTCTTAGTACACAGTATTAAATTATATTGCGGTGCTTATGTGCACTTAAGGTGTTATTTAACACCGAGGGATAGGATTTGCAGCGCATTATGCGTTTAAGGTGTCTTTTGACACCGAAGTAGATTAAAAAGGGTTCAACAACTAAATTTATGTGGTAGATTAAAAAGGGTTCAACAATTAAATTTATGTGGTCACTAATTATTCAAGAATCAAATTGGTATGTTTGATTGCTTGAATGAAATATAATGTTTGATTGTGTTATGGTTTGAGAGTCATCACCAAGTATAATAATATGTAAACAATCTAAAGTGAAAGAGATTACGAATCAAAACTCTTGGAACGTATATACCTTGAGTATGAACATATGGGGGGAGTTATGCGACTTTATATTTGACCATAACTTCTATTGGGAGTACAGGACGCTGTATTTTCCTTTTTATTTATTTTATGCGCAAGACCTCCAGTCACTTCATGTGACATTTGCCTACCCGGTTAGCTCTAGGTGTAGTTTACCTCAATATATTTGGGGCATGGATTTGGTTGGAAACTCGTTCGATGCGTAATCAAATTAAATGGACATTTGTATTTGTCTAGTTAAGTGTTGAATGTCTTGTATGCTTGTTTGCAGGTGCAACAAGGTGAGTTGTGTGATGATAGGATAAAAGCGTATTAGTGTGTTTTAATATGCTTATGTACTCAGCATTGTTGATTGTGTGTTGTATGTTTGTTTGACCTTGTTTTTACCTTGTCCCTACGACGACCCATTTCTAATGGCGAGTAGTGGGGACAAATAGAGAGAAGTTTTTCAGGTGATGAAGCATTTTCATGATGGGCTTGAGTGAAGAGCGATTCATGCTTAGTTCCATATGATGTGTTTTATTTGCTTTGAATATTATTTTTTATTATGCTCATGAGACTAACGTAAAGGTTTTCAGTATTGTTTGGTTTTAAGGGGCTACAATGGTTCCAAGTTGTAGGTTGACTTTGTTTGATTTTGTTTGACTTTACTTTCGTTTGGTTTGACTTTTGAGTTGACTTGTTTTAAATGGTTTTAAAGAAAGTCTTCCGTTTTGTGTCTTTGATATTTGCCTTAGCCGTTTTCACGGTGGCAGTAATGTCTTAGATTTTCCTATTTCATATTTTAAAAGGGCAAAACAGGTATTTTAAAGGAAATTAATTTCTAGGGTGTTACAAAGTGGTATCTGGGAGATTTGGTTGAGATTTTTATTACCACTAAAGCCAAAAACGTGTTTTAAAATGTTTTGTTTTAAACTTGGCCAAGTGCTTATTTAATTAAGTTATTTTAAAATAAGGTTATTTTCACTTATTTTAACTTTTGAAAACCGGAAAATTTATTCATTATTTTTAAAAAAAAAAAAAAAAAAAAGTGGTCCGAAATTTTTTTTTTTTATTTGTGTAGAAAATCCAAAAAAAATAAATTTTAATGAAGGTCATCCGAATTTTTTTTTTATTTGGGGTGTCCGAATTTTTTTTATGTTGGCCGAATATTTTGGTCTTCTTCGGGGCTTATTTTCGAAAATTAATGTTAAAAGAGGAGTCAAAAATATTTTTAGTTTGTTCATTTTGCAGGAAAGCAAGGATTGAGGTAAGTATTATGTGTTAAAAGCTTTTAAAAGCATGTTGGTGAGCTTGGGTAGGAAAGAATTTGGGCATATAAGTTAGAAATAATCATGTTCTTGTATGCATTAAATTTTAGGTTGTGATGTTTGATCATGTGGATTGATTAATTGAAAGCATGTGATTATGTGATTAAAAATAGGTGAAATTGTTTGATTAAACATTGAACCTAATTCATACAAGAATTGTATTATTTTATTTTCTTTGGGAAAGGAATTCTTTTCTAAGCCTTTTCCTTTACAGGATGCCGATTCTTCCTAACAAACTTTTCCAGATTGGTACTCTAGTTAAGAAAAACAATGAACATCCGTTTGACTATGTCGAGAAAATCCAATTCTATTTTTCCCACATGAGCAATGTCTTAGGAGACAAGCATTATGATCTTCCTGATCGTGTTTCTACTATGATTATTCACTGTCTTCCGGATGAACCCCTATATCTTGCTGTCAAAGCAAAATTTTCTGATTTCTATTTACCAAGGGACATCCCAAACTACTTTAAATATAAAAATTTCTATGGACAGTGGTACCCTGACTACAGACACTTGATTTCATACCTCGTTAGAGTTGAGAAAGATCATTGCCAGCACTTACACATTCCATATCCCAATTACTACTATGAAAATCTGGTAGGGAATAATTCCCCTTCCACTAGTCATCAGTCAGGAAGTTCTTCTCCCACTCAGGGTAATCAAGCAAGGACAGATGGAGAGCAGGAAGTAGGGGAGATGATGGATGAGAGTAACCATATTGTTGAGAGTTCCATTATGGAGATTCCAAATCCAAATCCACCTCCAACTCCAATTATAATCGACATTTCATTTGACGATGAGGAAGATGAAGAGTTTGTCCAAGTAGAGCAAGAACCAGAGTCACCTGAATCAATGGAGGAAGAAGATGACCCTGAATTCGATCCTGGAAGCTACAAACAATCTACAGAGAAGAAGGATAATGTTCAAAAGGACTAGATTTTTGTAGTTTCATTTCTTTTAGGATTCTTAGATTTGATTCCGCATTTTAATCATTTCAGTTTCAGTAAGGCAATAAGTGGCATATCCATAGTGAGTTAGTAAACTTATGTAGTTGCATAAATTATTTAAACTTATTTTATTCAGTATTCTACTCATTTTCTTACTCAGCAATAAAATTTCATTTATTTCCTTGTCAATTAATTCATTTTATTGACAAGTCATTCATTTCGTTCCCAAATCATTCATTTCGTATCACTACTCCAAGAAGCCATTTCTTACTCACAAATATTCCAATAATTCATTTCTAAACTTTGGGAATCCATGGGAATTATTTTTTATATATAAATGATGCTTTATTAAATGTGTGGTTGGTTAGCAGTCAATATTTGGTTGACAAAGCTGCAAATTTTGGGAATTTTAAGTTTTGTGATCCCAATTTGTTAGCTTAAAATTTAATGTGTATGCTTCAAGGGTATTAACTAGTTAGATGGGTGTCTAACATGTGATCTAGACAAGACCATATTTAATAAAGACCCTTTTGTTTTAATTCAGGCGGAGAAAGATGGCAGGAGGGAGTGGTAATAACAACGATGTAGGAGAGCTAAGTGAAGTTGTGAGGCAGTTGGCAGTTGTTGCCCAACAATTAGCAAGGAACTCAACCAATAATGTAGATGCTTAGGGAGAGCTGTTTAAAAAGGTGGCGCAGAGTAAGCCACCAACCTATCAAGGAGAGCCTGATCCAACTATGATGGAAAACTGGTTGAGGGAGTTTGAGAAGCTACTTGGGGCGGTAGGGTGTCCGAAAACTTCAAAAGTAGGTTGTGCTACCTATTACCTCGGGGTGAAGCTGACCTTTGGTGGCAGCAAAATGAAGCTACCATTAAGGCACTACCTGGATTCAATTGGACTATGTTTCAGGAGAAGGTTAGGGACAAGTTTTACCCTAGCTTCTTACAGAAACAAAAGGCTGAGGAATTTTCTAACCTTGCAATGGGGATTATGTCGGTCACTGAATACTATACCAAGTTTATTGAGCTGTCACAATTTGCGTAAGAGTCTGTTTCTACAGAAAATTCTAAGGCTAAGAAGTTTGAGAGTGGACTGACTACTGATTTGCAATTAAAGCTATATAGGCAAGTATTTAAAACCTTGGATGAAGTGTATGGGAGAGCTGCACACCTATATGCCTTAGAATTAAAGAAGATGAAAGAGATAGCTGAAGTGGAAGGAAAGGAAAAGAGAAAAGAGGTGGGACAGAACTCTAGAAACCCGCAAGGTAACCAGAACAACTTCAAGAAACAGAATTACCACCATAATCACAACAACTTCCACAAAAACAATAATTTCCAAGGCAACAATCGTCACAGAGGACGAAACTTTAATGGTGGAGCTGAGAACTCTACCCAGTGAAATAATAGGGGAGCAAGACATTTCTACTGCAAGAGGTGTAAAAACGATCACCCTGGTAGATTGTGATGGAAATTTGGTTACTTGTCATGCTTACAACAAGTTAGGACACAAGGAGTATGAATGTTTCTCCAAGGACCCCAATAGAAACAAGCAGGGAAATAATCAAGGAGGGGCTCAAAAGAACTTTCAGGTAAATAACAACTATTTAGGAAACAAGGGGGCACAGCAGAATGGAGCGAAAGGCAACAACAATAATAATAAGGGAAATCAGGTGAAGAGTGGAGCTCCAGGGAAACTGAATGTGATGAGTATGCATGAGGCTAATTCCACGAAAGATGTCATCACTGGTACCTTTTCTATTAACTCTATTCTTGTTAAAGTCTTGTTTGATTCTGGTGCAACTTTTTCTTTCATTTCAAAGGCCATTTTTCCAAAATTATCAAACTGTTTGAAAACCGTAGATGAGGTAGATTTGCCTATAGTTATTCCTACGGATGGGGTAGTAAAGTGTAACAAGACCTTTAAAGATGTACCTTTAGAAATCTAAGGAAAAGTGTTTTTATCAAATCTCATTGAGTTTGGATTGAGTGACTTTGATGTCATTTTGGGAATGGATTGGTTGAGCAAGTACATCGCAGAGATTAGTTGTCGATCACAGAAATTAAAAATGAGTACAGTTGATAATGAGTTGGTGACATATTGGATGCATGGTGAAACCAAGTGCCCAAGGATCATATATGTGTTAAAATTGGCAAAGTATATTAAGAAGGGGCATCCAATGTATTTTTGTAGTGTGAGGAATATGGAACATGAAGAGACAACTAAGCCTGAAGATATAGAAGTAGTAAATGAGTTTCTGGATATGTTTCCAGAATAGTTTGAAATACATTTTCACTCAAAGGGATTTAAACTCACGCCAAAGAAGATGGTTAGAATATACGACGGATTATGACTTAGACAAACAATATCATGAGGGGCAAGCAAATGTAGTCGCAGATGCTCTAAGTCGTAAAACCAATCATGGACTGAATACTTTGATAGTGGCTGATGAGTTATGTAGAGAAATGAGGAAAATGAATCTAGAAGTGGTAGAATGGGGAGTGCCAGCAGGCATACTTGCGAACCTAAGTATTCAACCAACAATATTTGATGAGATAAGGGAAAATCAAGCAAGAGATGTAAAGTTGGATAGGATTTGTGAGAAAATAAAGCAAGGAAAAGCTACGGATTTCAAAATTAAATGAAGATGGGAGTTTAAGGTACAAAGGTCGTTGGTGTGTACCACAAAAATGTGAGGAGGTAATGAGAAAGTTGATGGAAGAAGACCACAATACACCGTATTCAGTACACCCAGGAGGGGAAAAGCTATATGAAGACCTGAAAAAGATGTATTGGTGGCCCAGAATGAAGAATGAGGTTGCGGAATTTGTGGCAAAGTGTCTAACTTATCAGAAAGTGAAGATAGAACACAAAAGACTGCAAGGAACTGTGCAATCATTGAAAATTCCTGGATGGAAATGGGATTGTATTTCAATGGATTTTGTGACTTGCCTCCCAAAGTCAAATAGTGGAAATGACACCATTTGGGTAGTGATGGATAGACTTACAAAATCTGCAGTATTTATACCAATGAAGGAGACCTTGAAAATGGAGTAACTTGCAAAAGCTTACATCAAGAATGTGGTGAGATTACATGGAGTTCCAAAATATATTGTGTCTGACAGAGATTCTAGGTTTCTTTCAAGGTTCTAGAAGAGTGTGTAGGAAAACTTTGGTACAACACTTAAGATAAGTACAACATTTCACCCTGCCACAGAAGAGAAAACTGAGAGAACCATTCAAACTTTGGAAGACATATTGAGGGCTTGTGTTATATATTTCCAAGGGGGATGGGAAGATAGCTTGGACTTAATTGAATTTTCCTATAATAATAGCTATTATACAAGCATTATCATGACTCCATTTGAGGCATTATATGGAAGGAAGCGTCGCAATCCAATTTGTTGGAGCGACATAAGCGAAACAATGATTATAGGGCCTCAAATGATCGAGGATACAATTAAGCAGGTAAGGGAGATTCAAGCTAAGATTCAAGCGGCGCAAGATTGCCAAAAGAGCTATGCAAACTTGAAGCGTAGAGAGGAGGAATTTGGGGTCGGTGACAAAGTATTGTTAAAGGTGTCACCAATGAAAGGTGTAATGAGATTTGGAAAGAAAGGAAAGCTTAGCCCAAAGATATTGGTCCATATGAAGTATTACGAAGGATAGGCAAAGTGGCTTATAGGTTGGCCTTACCTATGGAGCTAAGTAAAGTGCATGATGTATTTCATGTATCTCAGTTAAGAAAGTATATCCCTGATAAGTCACATGTGCTACAACCTGAAACGCCTTCGTTAACTTCCCGTTACTATGGGTCCTTCACTGCCAATTGGCACTGGACCGTAAATATATTTTTTAAATGCTTTTCGCATAAAACAAGGCAAAATAATTACGAGAATGCCATTTGATTAACGTTTGTAGTTCATCAAATTGCGAAACCTGGACTCGCTCATTTTTTTTTACTTTAGCTATAAATCATTAATATGGGTCAAAGTGGTGTGTGATAATGAAAAAGTCAAACTCTTGCAAATAAAAAAAACGAAGGAAGTATTTTTATTTTTTTTTTTTAAAAAAAAAAAAAAAAAAAAGAAGTTGGTTCAATTTAAATCAATACATCTCACAAGTTAGCCAGCTCATTTACGCAAATCACCGCTTGAGAGTTAAGGAGAGAGGTAAGGAAATCCTACTCCCAAGTGGCCAAGTATGTATAGTTGGTTGTGATTTCAAAGTCACGAGGTGAATATATGACGGTTAAACTAAAACACTTAGTCCTATTATTTTGAACTGTATTTTTCTGCTTTGTTCTAAAACTCAAAAGAATAGAGTCTTATTTTGAAACAGATAGAACATCTGAAATTAGGTTAGATCTCAAATTGATTATCTAACCATCCTTATCAATAGGAAGGAAGGTGGTTGTTTCCTATCCTATGACCTATTAGTACTAAAAAAAGGAAGGAAACACTGCACGATACCAACGCACATGATTGCGGCAACACAGTAATGGTATGGTAAAGACTAAAACGTGAGGGTCACAATAGCGGGCTCCACTCCATCTCTTGCCTTAACTGTGCGTCGTGCACTGCTCCCGTGAGTTTGAGTAAAAGACTTGGAAATCTCCTACTTTTTCTTTTACTACTAGATCTCAATTGGACCAATTCAAACTGTCAACTAGTCACTAAAACTTTTAATTTTATTTTTGTTTGATTTATGACTAAGATTAAATAATGCATCATCCGTGTTTAAATAAATGAAACGTTTCGACTTTCACATAATTTAAGAAAAGTTAGTTAAATTTATTAAAATAATAGGTACTGTATATAAATTTGAATAGAATGAAGAAAATAAGGGGTTTTATAAGGACCATTAATTAGTAAAATATTATTAAAAAATAGAGAGAGTATTATTAAAAATAGAGAGATGTTACTTAAAAAATAAAGAAATATTTCATTTATTTAAATACGGCCGCAAAAGAAAAACGATTCATTCATCTAAACAAGGAGCAGTTCCAAGGAAAGTACTGTAATAAACATTGTTTTATTACTCCCCAATTCCCTATTTCGGACTCATATGTCCTTCTTACCTTGAATAATTTTATCTCACAAAAGGATTTAAATAAAAAAGGAGACTCATTTGTGTAAGATCATCCTATAACTCCATAAGTATTTTTACCCAAACAAATATGTATTAGTAGATTTAAAGCCAAATTAGTACTAATTAACAAATTGTATTGCTATAAATGTAGCTTTTTTATTTATTAAGGCGATTATTGGTCGAATTTGCGATGTAGTGAGTTTTAAGGTGTTATATATTTATTGTTTTAAAAAAAAAAGGTATTTTATACTACCTCCGGGTTTTTTTATGTGCAAATTTTGTCATTTTAGTCCGCTCAATATTATGTGCAACTTTCTTTTTTCTTTCTATTTTTAGTAAAAAAAAACTAGTCAAATGTCAATTTTACCCTCATTTAAAAAATTAAAACACAATTTATTAACTATAATTGGATTTTATTACTCACTAATTCTTACCCAATTTTCACCCCTACCAACCCAATCTAATTCATCAACTCTTCATCTTCAATTCAAGAAACCCAAAACCATCCTCATTCATCTTCATCTTCCCCCATATTTTCTCTCTCCTCTGTCATCCTCATCTTCCCCCATTTATCTTCTTTCTCTCTCTTCAACTTCAACCGGCGATTTCGTGGGTTTTCATGAGGGTGTTGGTGGTTTCGTGGGGTTGGTAGTGGTGAAGGGTCCGCGTTGAAGGCGACAGTGGTGTTGGTACGGTGAAGGCGGTGTGGGTCGTGGTTGTGGTGGGTGGTCGTGGATTTGGGTTTTGGTGTGTGGGTTTTGGTGGGTGGTCGTGGATCTGGGTTCTGGTGGGTGGGTTTTGGTGGTTCCATCGTTGTTCTGGGTTTTGGTCAGTGGCGGACTTGGGCTTAGACCTGGTGGGTCAAGTGACTCACTAGGCCCAAAAAAAAATTTTAAGTTATTTTTTTTTAAAAAAAAACTAAAATCAGTTTTCCCCAAATGACCAAATCACGAAGTCAGTTTAAGCCCTAGCCTTCTTCAGTTCTTCTTTTTGCCAATTCGCCTCTTCCCTTCGGCCTTCAATCCTTCATCAATCATCTCCAAGACTCCAACTCCAGTTCTCCACTCCAGTTCTTCACTTCTTCATCAAAGAGTAAGTTTGTAATTTTTATTTAAAATTTCTAATCTTCAATTCAATTCAGTCTATTTAGTTAATTTTATTAAACTTCGCAATCTTGTCTTTAATTCAGCCAATTCGCTATTTCGCTGTGCGGGCTGTGCTGCTGGCTGCTCCGCTGCTCGCCTAGTCGCCTCAATCAGCGCCTGCCGCCTCCGACACGGCAGTCCGGCAAGGTAGGTTCATCAATTTATTCTTTTTTTTTTTGTGAATTTTTGATCAAATTTGCATTACTTGTCTCTTAAAATTAGTATATACGGTGAATGTTCATTGAATTTGCATTATTTGTGTAAATTGTGTTTTGACTGTTAAATTGAACTTATTAGTTTATCTGTTTTACTGTTTATGTCGTTATTTGAAATTGTGAATATGTGATGCCGGTATTGCCGGACATTGTGTAAGACAGCAATTAGACTATTTAACTATTAGTGTAACTGTGTAAGGAGGATTATAAATTTATAATTAGATTACAGTGTGGATTGGTTAGTGCTTAGTGGTGCTAGTCGCATATTCAGCTTGAAGTTCCGTATAGTCGTATAGATTAGTGGAGATATTAGTTTGTTGATTTTAGTCTTGTCAATTTTAAGCTTGTTAATTATTAGTTAGGATTGTAATCTTGTCAATTTTCTATTTGGATGATCTAATGATCTTTGTAAATAATTTTTCTGAGGAATATTGTTTGATTTAGTTGATTATTCATTCAATTTTCAGAATGAAGAGAAAACGCACTCAAAATGAAATGCAAAACATTACTAGCTTCTTTGCTAAAAAGAATCCTACTTCAACTTCTCTTCCACATCCAACACAAAATGAACAAACTATATCTCCACCTCAACAAAGTGAACAAACTACATCTCCACCTCAAGAAAGTGAACAACATTCATCTCCATCCAATTATTCAACTCAAAATTCCCCTCAAAATGAACAAGGCCAATGTTCTCCTAATGCCCCAATCTTTGGTGAAAGATTAAGTGAACATGAATTTGCTAATCTTCCACAAGATCCAGGAAAGAGGAGAAAGATGAGTCAATTTCATAAAGATGATAGAGATTTAGTGAGAAGAATTTACATTCAAAGAAAGCCTTGTTAGCCCAAAGACTTTATATTTCCTCAAACTTCTATTTTTGGCAAAAACCGTCGCTTTTGTGCTAAGTGGTTTGATACTTGGACTTGGCTTGAGTATAGTGTGGAAAAGGATGCTGCCTATTGTTTCCCTTGTTATCTATTCAAGGATGAAAATGCATTTGGAGGTAATGCTTTTGTTAGTGATGGTTTCAAATCATGGAATCGATCGGATTTAATAAGAAAACATGTGGGTAAGCACATGAGTGCACATAATAATGCAGTGTTAGCTATGGATTTGGTCAAGAAGAAAAAGTCAAGCATCACACAAGCCTTGACAAAACAAACCGCTGAGAGTAAAAATGCATATAGGAAGCGACTTGAAGCTTCAATTGAATCAATCCAATGGCTTTTACTCCAAGGGTTGCCTTTCCGTGGTCATGATGAAAAAGAAAGTTCCTTAAGAAGAGGTAACTTTCTTTCACTTTTATCCCTTATTTCCAAAGGTAACCCTGAATATTCTAAAGTTGTTTTAAAAAATGCTCCTAGTAATTGTCAACTTACTTCTCCAAAAGTCCAAAAAGATATCATAAATGCATGTGCAAAAGAGAAAACTAAAGCAATGCTTGAAGATATTGATGGTGGTTTGTTTTCTATCCTTGCTGATGAGTCCGCTGATGTTTCTGACAAGGAACAATTGGCTCTTTGTTTGAGATATGTTAATAGAAAGGGAGAAGTGTGTGAGCGTTTACTTGGTATTGTGCATGTTGTAAACACTGCTTCTTTGACTCTCAAAACTGCTATTGAATCCTTATTAATGGAGCATTCTTTGTCTTTCTCTCAAGTACGGGGTCAGGGTTATGATGGGGCAAGTAATATGCAAGGTTCTATTAATGGCCTTAGGACTCTTATAGAGAATGAGTGTAAAGAAGCTTATTTTGTCCACTGCTTTGCTCACCAACTTCAATTGACTCAAGTTGCACTTGCTAAAAAGAATTCAGATTGTGCTTGGTTATTTGTTGATGTACTTGCACCTCTGTTGAACTTTGTGGGGGGTTCACCAAAAAGGAAAGAGTTTCTTCGTGAAAATCAAGCTCAAAGAGTGGTGGATGCTTTGTCTCTAGGTGAACTTGAAACGGGTTCAGGTTTAAATCAAGAACGTGGATTAGGTAGACCTTGTGATACTCGTTGGGGATCTCACTTCAAGACAATCTTGAATGTACTTGATTTATTCCCTGTAATCCTTGGTTCTCTTGAGGATATTGCAAAAGTATCTGATACAATAGATTCTAATAGAGCTCAAACACTTACAAATCTTCTGATGTCCTTTGATTTTGTGTTTGTGGCACACTTGATGGTTAGTATATTTGCGATAACAAATGCTTTGAATGTGGCCTTACAAAAGCACGATCAAGACATTGTGAATGCAATGGCCATGGTTAATGTAACCAAGACTAATTTGCAAAAAATGAGAGATGAAGGATGGGATTCTCATATGGAACAGGTCATTTCTTTTATTGGTGACTATGACATTGCAGTTCCAGATATGGAGGCTAAATATGTTGTTCCCGGGAGGAGGTTGTTTCGAGGTAAATGCCCACAAGTGTCTAATTTACATCATTTTCGAGTTGAAGTTTTTTTTGGTGTCATTGATCTTCAATTGCAAGAACTTGAAAATCGATTTCCCGAAATAACTAAAGAACTACTTGTGTGTATGTCTTGTTTGAGTCTTGTGGATCGTTTTTCTAAGTTTGACAAGGAAAAATTGATTAAGCTTGCGAAATTCTATCCTAATGAATTTCCAAGTTCAGAATTGATAGTCTTTGGTCATACACTTGAGAGTTACATTTGTTCTGTTAGAGGAGATGAAAGGTTTTGGAATTTGAAGGGTCTTAGTGAGCTTTCAATCAAATTGGTTGAAACGGGATTGTCTGAAACTCATGATAGGGTCTATTTACTTTTGAAGTTGGTGTTGCTTCTTCCTGTCGCAACGGCAAGTGTGGAAAGGGTATTTTCTGGCATGAAGCAAGTGAAAGACAAACTACGAAATAACATGGGAGATCAAATGTTGAATGATTGTTTAATTACTTATTTGGAGAATGATTTGTTTTTGAATGTTAGCATGGAAGATATCATGAATCGATATCAAAACATGAAAACTCGTCGAGAACTATTGTAATAAGTTTGCATTACTATTTAGTTGTCTTTTGTAGTATTATATGAACATTTGGTTGTATTTTGTACTGTTTGAATATTTGGATGTATTTTTTAGTACTATTATTTGGTTGTTCGGTAATTTTTTTTTTTTTACATACTTGATTATCGATTGTGAACCACCAGTCGGAAATTCCTGGGTCCGCCACTGGTTTTGGTGTGTGTTCGTGGAGGTGGTGGTTCCGTCGGTGGGTTTTGGTGGGTTTTCGTGAGGGTGGGGTTGGTTGTGGTGGTGGTTTCGTGGGGGTGGTAATGGTGGTGGTGAAGCAGACGGTGGTGTTGGTGAAGGCGGCGGTGGTGTTGGCTGGTCTTGGTGGTGGCAGTGGGTGGTTGATTAATTTTCATAACATTCTCTCTCCACCTTAATTACATACCCCTATAATACATTAATCACCATTATCAAGTTTTGTCTCGTGAACCGTAAAGCCTACCAAAGTTGCACATAAAAAAAACCGGAGGTAGTATTTATATTGGAATTTTAGATTTCTTATGAAATCATTTATCTTCCTAGCATAAAAATAAATAAAATACAATAAAAAAAATTACTTTTGTATGTTACTGCATCATTATCATAATTAATTCTTTTTTTTTCTATAATTATTAACTCCAGAACAATCTAACATATACAAATATAATAGTTGAACAAATTTTAACTTAACAACTTAAGATCGATAGGGCTGGTCAAAATATTGCATTTAAAGCATAAACAAACAGAGTAAAAAACTAACAACAATTAATTGGGAAGAAATGATAATAACGTCTAGAACAAATCAGCTTGTCAACTAGTCCGTAATTTAGGGTATATAAGTGAATGGATTATTCATAGTCAAGATTCAAGAACACGTATACTAGTAAAAGGCGGCCGAAAGAAAATAAATAAAGGAAGGCGCCTCTTGCATTTGTCAGCTATACATTTGGTACACAACTTTAGACCTGGTCAACTTGCAACTTGAGAAGGCATCAATGGAAAAGCTCCTTCCAACTAAAACGTTAAAAGTACATCATACAATAAATTATAAATATTATTGTCCTCTAAAGTGCTAATTTCCATTACACTCGAATATACTCGTACTAGATACTGTATATGATATACCGACAATCTGTTTAAGCTTGTTTAAAACCCTCCCAAGTTAAGATAATCCTTTTGTTTTGTATGGGGCAATGCATTGAGACTTTGAGAGTAGACTTGGGTCTTCAATACTTTTTCCAAAGCTTTAAAAGATATAATAGGATTACCATTATTATTTTTATAGGTAAGTGAATTTTAAAGTTATTGATGAGCTATTATGATTTTTTATTTTTTTCTTTTTTTATCAAGGAGATACTAAATCTAAAAATAGTGATTTAACCAAATGAGCTCCCAATCCCACGAGCAATGATAAATCCATCTCCAAGTTGCGGGAATAACTACCCATTACAATAATATTCCCACTAATGAGCCTCGAGGCGTTTTCGGATTTACCTAAAGTAGGGGTAATTTTGAAAGTTAAAACACTTTTGGTTTTGACCAAATTGGGGTTATCATGACCCCACAACAATCTAATCTTATGCCAGTTAACCAACCTAACACCAAATTACCAACTACTCGTATTACATTCATGAACTTTCAAGTAATTAAAGGACATGTATGTATAATCCAAACTAGAGATTCCACCCAAACAATAGCTTAATGCATCATTACTAAAATCGTCAAACAATAGATGAATGAATGTATCTCAATCGAGTTTTCCTAAGCTCGACCATTCGAATTCTCGAAATTTTGTGGCAAGACTGGCAACAATTGCCACTCCAATTTTGATGGTAAAGGAAACAATGGTATGGAAAAAATGACCAAAATTGAAAAAAAAAAATAAGTTGGCTGTTAGCTTGTTTAGAAGGATGTCAACTCAGCATTCCGAACCCATTAGCCAATGAGAAAACGGAATATAGATCTAAACCTCGTGTCCGTCCGGGTGCCCCTCCTTTGAGTGAAGAGACATCCAGCACAAACCTGTTCAACCCAATAAACAAAGATTAATGAGAATATTAATGTCTAACATAACTGAATTATATCCGAATGCAAGAGACTTACGAGTTCTTTGATGCATTTCCGAGATTTAACATTGTAGAATTTAAGTATATTTTGTTACCCACTTTTGATACCAAATTCACCATAGGAAAACCAATCTTTGGGACTGCATATAAAAATTTAAAATATTTCATCAGGCATAATGAGCTAAGGAAGACAGATCATATGAAGGTAACGTATCGATTTGGGAATTTTTACCAGATTGGTTTGTTTTGTCAGCAGATTTATCTAAGCCCAGGAGATTCTACAAGCCAAAATACAAAATTTAGCATTTCACTATCAACACATGCTGACTCGAAAGAAAGGGTCTTTGAACTAGGAATAATCACCTTTAGAGACTGGTAACAGGCCTCAAGATCATCATTGACCAGGACATGATCAAAGAGACCGGGAGATTTTCCCTGTTCGAGTTCTCCCTTGGCATTGCGAAGACGCTTCTGAAGCTGCTCCTCTGTCTCAGTCCCTCTGTTTAAAAGGAGAAGTAAGTTGGAATAAATCATAAGAGTAACTTATACAGGCATCCCAACTGCAAGCAGCTCTAGTTTACCTAGAACGAAGCCTCTTCTCGAGATCTTCATATGATGGGGGGCATATAAAGATAAAGATCGCATCAAGAGAACTAGCCCTCACTGACTTTGCACCTTGAACATCAATGTCAAGAATGCATCTCTGCGTAAAGAGACCAATATAATTGTCTCAACGTTTTGTAGTATAGACAAGCAATAACTACTGATCACTTTAAAGACGAATTGTTTACTAAATATCATGTTGTTTATTCAAAGACGGGAAAGAAATAGAACTTTCGTCCTCACCTTTCCTGAATCAGCAACAACCTCAACAGATTCGACACTAGTTCCATATAAGTTTCCATGGACTTGAGCAAACTCGAGGAACTTTCCGTCTTTTATGTCCTTCTCCATTACACTTCGCTCAGTAAAATGGTAATGAACCCCATTAACCTCCTTCTCTCTGGAAGCGCGGGTTGTGTGGCTCACAGAGAATCCAAACATCGACGGAAACTCCTTCATGAGCATGGCAATTAAAGTGCCCTTGCCCACACCAGAAGGACCACTGATAACAATAGGTTTCCCAGCATACCCCATAACTCCCTTACTCCAAGCCACAACATTATCACTCCCTAAAACCTTTTTCTGTTGTCTAACATATGGTGTGTCCACCTATCAATAAATTGCACATTAATTAATCATAACTGCCTCAAATTACATTAAAACAAAATGTATTCCAAGAACCATCAACATTGAGTGTTACAACTAATATACCCTCCTAGATTCATCATTCCACAAAAATTATCTCAAATCATCATAATATTCCTCCAACTGTATAGGATCCTCACCTCAAGAAACCAAAGATTATCATCTGTTGATGCACCATTCTTGATCACCAAAACCCGATCTTCGCCTAGCGGCAGAGCCCAAAGATCAGAGCTCAGAGATGGCTTAGTGCCCAAAACTGCAGGATATATCCTATAATGTTCATAACACTATGTTATTCAACATACAAATAGAACAAAACATAACATAATCAAACAATAAAACAACATTCATATAACTTACCAGTTTTCCAAGGAGTTGTCAAAAACCTTAACTCCAATGGACAATGTTGAATCATCATAATCCCCAATCAAGTACTAAAAACAAACCAACAAATAAAAATCAATAAAATCAATACAAATTGAATTAAATTAATTATTGGTGAAAGAGAGAAAAAAAAAAGTATAGTTTATTATAGTATGACAGATTGCAATACCTTTGTTTTACCTACAATAGTTGTTGTTTCTCTACCCCTACAAAACAAATCAACCCCATTTCCATTACTTTTCTGCAGATCATCAAACAGAAAAGCTGGCGCTTCACCCTGTGTCAAAAACAACCCCAGATCAGATTTCTAAAAAATACAGGTAACCCAATTTGATCTACCTATGTTTCAACAAAAAATCATATGCTTCAGGGTATGAACCATTTTATATTGGCGTCGGAAAAAATGTAACAAATCTTTTAAATAGAAGAAAGTAAATAGGAGCAATGAACTTACCATGAGTAAATCTTCTTACTCCTCCAAGAGACTCAAAACACCCCTAAACTGCAATAAAAACACAAAAAATAGATCAAAAACAAATTCAATCACCCAAATAAGACCTAAAAATGAACAGAATGTAGCACAGAAAAAATCTGGGCAAATTTAACATAAACCCCAGAAGGGTAATTACAAAAACAGGGTAAAAAACATACCCAAATCCTAACTATAACCAAAGGATCAAAGAAGCAATGTGTAATGAACACAGTACCTAAAAACTTGAATTTTTCTTTGTTTTTATAGAACCAAAAGAGAGTTTTTTTTAGAGGAGTAAAGCAATGGAAGAATGAAGCAAAACCTAATTAAAAAAAGAAATAAAAACCCTAAACAAAGATTGATTGAAAAGGGGTGAAAGATGACAACTTTAAGTGAAAATCAAATCAAATAAAATGAATGGAATTAAAGTAAGATAAACTTAGGATTGAAAGAATCAGAAAAGTGTAGGAAGAAGAAGTAAGGAGAAAAGAAGAGAAGAATTGGCATATTTGTAGGCAAAGAGAGAGAGAGAAGAAGAATTTAAAGTGAGGGAAGGGTTAACAGAAAGAGGTGGGGTTTGCTGGCTGCCTTTGTTTTTGGGGGTATTCCAATTTCAATTCCTTGTAGAAACACAACCCAGATTACCGGACTCCTTCCTCTTCTTTGGTGGGAGCTTTTCCTTTTTTTTTAACAAAAGAAAATAAATAATAAAAATAATTTTTGGGGTCCTTGTTGATTTGAGTAGTTGCAATGAATTTTCATTTTTTTTTCATTTGTACTTGAATGTATATAAATACGTAGTATAAAGAAAAATAAAAATGAAACAAGTTGACATCGGTAAATTATATAAATAAAATTTATCACAAAAATACTGCTATTTTCTTCGTTTTATTCTTTCAAATTTGTATGTTCTTTTAATGTTGCAACACGGGATAATTATGTTTTAGGTGTCTTTAGTGAGGCTGGCAATACACAAAACAAACCGTGTGGTAAGCTGGCAACACGTCGCTTTCAACGATTAACAGAATTCACTAACGGCTTTAAAATGTAAGAAAACACTCAAATTTCAACAACAAATCAATTAATGAACTTTGATGCTTTTACTAACTCTATTTCTGTATAAAACACACATCAACACTTTAAATTTAAAGCAACAAAGATTTTGATAAATAGATAATGAATCAAATATAATCTTCAACTTACCATTCAAACACTCATTATATGTACTGAAAACTAGAGGTGATCAACTAATCATCAATGGCCTAGCCTGTAAAAAGTGGGGGTTTAATAAGGAAGGCTAAAAAAGCATTTTTAGTTTAAAACCTGAACCCAACCCTAAAAAATCCTGTTTTGGCCCAATAAATCCACACTGTTTGCAGGTTTGGGCAAAAGGCCCTACTTGAGTTTTTATCACCTATTCATTTCTACTGAAAACACCCCAAAATAAAACAAATTAGGTAAACCATGTTACATAAACAGGTAACAGAACACAAAGAGGTAACTCCATATATATAGGGTTGTTCAAAGTGCGGTCTAGACCGCACCAAATCATAAACCAGACCGCAATTTTGCGATTTGGTGCGGTTTGCGGTTTTCGAAAATGACCAAACTGTGGTTTTGCGACTGGGTGCAGTTTCCAAAAAAATTAAGACCGAACCACACATTGATGTGGTTAAGACCGTCAAACCGCAAACCGTTAAACCATTTTTATACTAAATCTATTAAAAATACATTATAAAAAAATAACTTTAAAATATAATGTAATCTTTGACTATTAGCTGATTAAAAGTTAAAAGAAGAGTTTAATACTTGAATTATAAGTTAATAATCACAAAATAAAATAAAAGTTTTTTTTTAATAATTATTTATAATTTTAAAAAAATGTGGCTAAACCGCACCGCACCAAATTGCATTTTGCGGTGCGGTTTGGTGCGATTTGGTTATAAGTGCGGTTTGAAAAAAATGCAAACCGCAATTTTGCGATTTGATGTAGTTTGAGATCTAAACCGCACCGCGAACACCCCTACATATATAAATCATATGGAGTATGTTGTAACTTTCTCAATATTCTCTCTGTTTTGTAATAATCACAAGGTATTACAAAAAGTTTTTAGAAAAACTATAGGGTGAAGACCAAAGGAAGAATTTTATAAATTAGTGGGAATTTAACTAATTGTTAATTAGTTAAAAAGATAAATAGTAATAAAAAAGTAGTGTAAGTGGAGTTGGTACCTTAACAAAAATAAGTACCAATTATTAAGTAACCCCACCCCTCAAATAAAATAAAATAAGTAGCCCCTAAAATTGAGAATGTGTAACCTCTATACCTCTTATTAGGTAACCCTTATATATACTATCAATAACATCTATAAACTTTAGTTGGCAACCCTATTATGTACAAGTAGGGAATATTTCAACTCCGCCCTACTGTGGTGTCATGTTCTTAAGCATGGCGGCGCTCCAAGAAAAATAAGCTAGAGAAAAAGAGTCACCAACAAGTTTTAGGAACTTGTAAATCGTTCACGGGTATGAAAGTTACACCCCATTCACAATCACAGATATTGCTAACTCCATAGTGGTCCGAAACCATGACTAGATGTTCGGGAATGATGGTATGAATTTGACCTGAGAGAAGCCAAACTTGCCCTAAATAGGCCTCTACTTGATTCTTATTGATATTCATGCGCGCTTTTCAATCAACATACATACATCGAGTTAATCCTAATCCTATTTAATCTACGTTGGTTGATTATTAATGCACAATCAAATCTATTATTGGTGATCACTTGAATTAAAATCATATTAACCTAAAATCAAATTATTAATTATCTTATTATGCGTGATTCAAGTACAAATTCCTTTTAAACCTACAAGAAGGGGCGTGATCAAGTAATAACAATAAATCTTGAATAATCAAGCAACATATGATTAATACAACAATCGTCATCATAAGAACATCATCAAAACATTATAAGTAGTAAGATTTTAGGCATGATACTAAACGGATTAATAACAACTCTTAGCATGTCACTGATAACAAAATCAAAGCGTTATCCTAAACATGATACTAGAAATCAATATAACATCCTAAACATGATACTAGAAATTAACATAACATTGTAAACATGATTTTTACTCCAAAATCGAAAGAATGATAAAAAGGATAATTGAATTACTCACTTTGATGCCTCAACCTTCTTGCTATTAAAACAATATACACGGTAGTAAACTTCAAGAAAGTTAAATCAATAAAGTAAATAAATCAAATATGAATTGAAATACAGATTTAGGACCAAACCCTCAGAACTATCAACCTTTCACATCGAGGTCGAAGTCAACATCGAGTATGGCTTGGAGTATTCGAATCTCGCGAAGGAGGTATTGTGACTAATTTGGGAGATTATCAAGGATGTGTTTAGGCTAAGGCTAAGAACATAGGTATTTGAATGATGATTAAAGCTAAGGATTATTGATGGTTGTTGTCCATGATCTGAAATGGGGAAAACTATTTATAAGGAAAAAAGAGAGTATGGACGATCATAAAAATCTAGAAGTTCCAAATAAAATAGAACTGCTTTCGACACGACGTGACAGAATTGTCGCGTCGCGCTGGGAGATAACGCGTCGCGCCAGGGCTGTCGTTGTGCGATAATTCTAGCGTCACGCGCTGGTTCTAAAAGATAGCAAAGCTGTACAGAGTTTGATTTCTAATGGAATTGTATTTCCAAAATATATCCGGACGTCTCCGTATCCGAATTGAACAAGGATTATCAAAAAGAGAAGTTTTATTCGATTTCGACCTCTTTGATCTTTAAAAGATAAATTAGAACCTTCTAGAGACTTCTAAAAGAGTCCTAATTGGTTTAGGATTGAGAATATGATCATATGGGGCCTGACTAAAATATTTGGACTCTCCATATAATCATTGGGTCGTAGCTAAGGGAGACCTAGGCTCGGTTTGGGCTCGGTTTAGTATTTTGGCCAAATCTCACTCATTTTAAGTCGGATTTGGGCTTATAATATATCGTTGAAAAGCTCTTTTTAAGCCCCATCCAACTAAATGATAATTAGATTGGGATCATGGACCAAAATAATCAGGTTTGGACGTTTTTATAATTTGGACATGAAATGAATGATTTTAAGGACACGAAATGAATGATTTTAAGTTTAAAGACACGAAATGAATGATTTTGGGTTTAAAGGTACTTATCACTGGGTTTGGTTTTTGAGGACACAATCAGGTGTCTATAGAAGCCCCCACTTTGACTGAGTTTGGAGAAACATAAATTTCAAAAACAAAAGTCAAAATAAGTCGAAAGGGACAGAGAATGATTCAGAACGTTCTGCAGTCCTAAATCATTCATTTTAACGCCGATACCTACAGAAAGCGTCAGTTCCACAAATAAAGGAGTTGAGGGGAAAGAAACGCGTACCTGGGATTGCCGAGCACACGTCTCTGGGTGACATCTTGTTAACTCAATTTGACAACCTCCACATTCTCAGGGAGTACTGTCGAAGACCACTTCGCTTTGAGTTGTCTTCTCGAATCTGGTGACAACCTCCTCATTCTCAGGGAGCGTTATCGATCTGAAATGTGTTTGCGTGTCTCTGAACACAGGAGCTTTTGAAAGGAATGTCCACGCGACTCTGAACAAAGGAGCTTTGAAAGTGATGTCCACGCGTCTCTGAACATAAGAGCTTTGAAAGGAATGTCCACGCGTTTTTTAACCAAAGAGGTTTTGAAAGGAATGTCCACTCGTCTCTGAATAAAAGAGCTTTGAAAGGAATGTCCACGCATCTCTGAACAGAAGAGCTTTTAAGGAAAGTCCACGCGTCTCTTAACAAAAGGAGCTTTGGAAGGATAAGTGGTGAGAGTGTCTGATTGGCTGCGAACAGAAGCTTCGATGAATTGGTGATGAATGGTGAGAGTGTTCGATTGGCTGCGAACAGAAGCTTCGATGGGTTGGTGACAAATGGCGAGATTGCTCAATTGACTCTGAACAGAAGCTTCGATGAATGGCGAGATTGCTCGATTGACTCCAAACAGAAGCTTCGATGAATAAGTGTATCCTGTAAAATCAAATATTGCCAAAGGACTTTGCTGGTGGTTTTCTTGAGGTTGACCCAAGACTTGGTGTACCTGACTCATTGTGTGTGACTCAATGTACTCAAATCAACTCAATGTGTTTCGACACGACATGACTTAAGGTGCATGACTCATGTGTGTAAAGTGTAGACTCAACTCGATGTGGTGACACGACACAACTTAATGTGCGTGGCTTGTGTGTGCATTGTGTTGTGATTGTGCTCGTGCGACCTGAAAATGCAGAAAAGCAAAAACTTTCGTCATTTTTGTGGAGGGTACCGACTTTCTCCCGAAAAGAAGTGAAAAAGGATGAAAAAGGTAAAGTGTTGGTGAAAAATGAAGCTTTTAAACTTCCCCAAAAAGAAAAAGAGATGAATCAGGTAATGATACATGTTGAATGAGTTTGATCAAGTGCATGTATTCATCGTTGTATCTCATGGTGCAAGGATTATAGCGTCCTAGACTATCTCAGTTGATGATTCGATAATGAAAGTATTTGGGTAACTTAGGCACGAAGGCTAAGTACTTCATACTTTGTGATGCAATGATTATTATGAGTGATTCTAAGATGACAAGGCATGCTTCAGAGTTGTATCAAGATTTCATGTCAAAGGATTTATAAGGGAAGGATTATTTGGCTATGTATTTGTGAT